AGGCGCATATATATATATATATATATATATATATATAATGAGGGTTTCAATGGTAAAAGGTTTAGTCTGCCTCTCTTTCTCGCTCTCTTTCGCTGTCTCCGCGTCTCTCGGGAGAGGGTGTGTGGTGGGTAATGGGAGGTTCACGATGCACATGTATACTTATATCCGTAGCTATATGTATATATGCAAAAATATATACATGAGGAGAGCATCGTACCGGGAAATTCGTCTGCTGCTGGGCGGGGTTGGAGAGTCGCCACTCAAAAGCGGTAAAAAGGCGAAGTCACCGACGTGACTCATTCACTTTGGATGGTGGGGTGTGGGGAGGAAGCAATACGGCAAAATACGAAAGACAACGGAAAAATGTACGTGCCTCTTTGGAAAACTATTTGAGATTTTCTTGCGATAGGCGTCTCCCTCGATGTCTGTCAAGTTACCTCCATCCAGTTACTTATCTATCTATCACTCTCGCCTTCTATGCATCGACTGCTGTATAGGCACATTTTTCGCCATGCATGTTTCCCTCCAATGGTGTTTGTATGCCGCACCTCTTCTGCTCATATTTTTGCTTCTCTTTTCTTTTTTCTCTTCCTCTTCCTCTTCCTCCTCCTTCTTTACCCATCGCTGTGGTTTGCCCGTTTACGTGCGTGCGTGCGTGCGTGCGTGCGTGTGTCTGTGTGTGTTGCAGTGTCTTCCCCTGCCCCCCCCCCCCCCTCCCGCTGGGGCAACGTGGCAGCGATAAACATTTTGGATTTGCGGTTCCTGCTGCTGCTGCCGTTTGCTGGTGGGAAGTGGGGCGGCGGCCGCAAAGCGGGAACGCGGGCGTGGGGTTGACGTTGGGCCCCGCCGGCGACAAATACAAGCGACGGTAACGAGGTGGGGAAAAAGCGAGGGGAGGGCGAGCAGGAAGTAGAAAAGCAAAAAAAAAAGGGAACTGGAAATACAGGAGAGGCCCGTAGGAACGAAAAGAAAAGAAAAAAAGTTAAGGCAAAACGGCAGCCATGCGGACTTCTTCTCTCTGCCGCTATGATTCATTCGCATCTTTGCGTGGAAACATCGCGTCACTCTTCGCACCGTTGAAAAGCCCCGAATCCGTGCGCCGCGAGGTACATCAGTACGTCTGCCACGCCCCGTGGCGCTACAAGGGTGCTCCGCGGCAGCGCGGGAGTTGGATGCGTGGGACTCTCAACCTCGTCTTTGAGGAGGCGCGGCGGCGCGGAAGTTACGCCGTCGCACTGGCCGCAGTAGAGGTCGTCGTCGCGCAAAAACAGCAGCTGACGATAGAGCCGTCGTGGGTCAAGAATGCGCTTGCGGCCTGCCACACTCCGGAGGAAATACGCGTGATGGAAGCGCTGCTCTCGCGGCATCGTCGGCTAGTTGGCGGCGGTGCTGCCGCTGCTGAGGCGGGTGAGGCGGCGGGGCAGCAACTAACCTCCGCGGCGCAGCGTGATGACGCACTGCTGCCTCCATCGCTGCAGGACGGGAAGGATGACGTGGGTGAGCTGCACGACACCTCCCTGCTTGCCGCTGGCTACAGTAACATGGCTCTGGCGACGTTGCGCCAGCGCCGCGATCAGGTGGTGACTGCGCCAAATGCCTCCTTTTTGCGTTATTTCGTGCGCCAGGGACTTGTGCAGGATGAGGCGGAGCTGATGCAACTGTTCAAGGCCCTGCGGGGTCGACAGCCTGTGGGGTTCCGCGTCCACACCTCACAGGTGCACGGAAAAGCGGTGGAGGCTCTCTTGCGTGATCGGCCCGGCATCACACCCTTGTCCTGGCTTCCGCCCATGTGTGGCGCCTTCGTCATGTCGGATGCGCCAGAAATCCCACACAATGTGGTTCTTTCCAACAGGCAACTGCTCCGGGCACTTGCAAACGAGCGACTTATTTCCTTTCAATCCACGTCGAGTATGCTGCCGGTGTTGCTGCTCGATCCACGTCCTGGAGAGGCTGTGTTGGATTTGTGTGCCTCGCCAGGGAGCAAAACGGCTCTCATCCTTGACTACATGACTGGCATCGCGTCGTCCTCAGGGGCCCCCTTGGAGAGTGGTTGCATTGTAGCGAATGATGCCATAGTTGCCCGCAGACACGCACTTGCACAGCGGCTGCGGGGTGTTTCACCAAAGATAGCGGTGACACAGATACAAGGACAACACTTCCCTGTACAACCCGTTGCGGCGGGTGGGGCTCGATATGATAAGGTCCTGGTGGATGCCCCTTGCTCCGGCGAGGGCCGCATGCAGAGGGATGTCATGTCGTGGCGCATGTGGCATCCGCTAAAAGCCATGGAATTTTTTGCCACGCAGGTGGCGCTGCTGCGACGCGCGGTGGAGTCGTGCGCTGCAGGCGGGTGCGTCGTCTACTCGACCTGCACCCTAAACCCCTTGGAAAATGAGGCGGTAGTGTCAACCGTGTTGGCAGATGGTGGAGTGGAGCTGATTCGCCCACCACCTTCCATGACGGCGAATAGCGGCTGGCACTTTAGTCGAGGTTTACCACGCTGGCTCGTTCCATCGCGTGCGGGAGGATTTTTGCACACCTTTGCAGAAGCGGAGGCGAAGGGGGAGAGGGCCTCCGTGGAGCTTTTTCCACCTGACGGGAATGCGGGCGTTCAAGCGGCGCTTGAAACGTGCTGTTTGCGTGTTTTACCCCACCGCAACGGCGGGGCGGAGGGCTTCTTCCTCGCCGCCCTGCGTAAACTGCAGCACGGTTCAGCGCGTTTTGCGCCTTCGTCTCCAAAGCGTATCGTGAGAGAGGAGACGACCGCCGTTTCCGGCGGACACCTTGCTGCCGACTCTATTTTGCATACCTGCGGTGTTGTGCGACTCTCGGCGGGGAACATGTTGCTGCAGCGTCACCTTGGCGGGTTCTTCAATGACAGTGCAACACAGCTGGAGGGCTTTTTGACCAAATGTGGCCTCTGCGCCGCCTGGAAGGAAAGCCAGGGACTTCTGCTTATTTCTGAGAGCTGTTGGGGCCATATGAGGGCGATTCCCTCCGTCACCGCGTCGTCTTCCTCGTCTTCAGCCGCCGCGTTGCTAGATGTGGGCATTGTTGCTATTGAAGCGGCGACAGGAGGCCTGACGGAGAGTGGCGCGTTCCACCTGCGGCCTTATGCCACCTCGCGCGTGTTGCCGCTTCCGTTGTCGGAGGTGCAGTGGCTACTGTCCCATCAGGTACTGAAGCTGTCCGAGATGCAGGAGGACCCTAAACTGTTGGCGCGGCGGATCGTTGGGGGCGTGGCACGCGTGGACGAGGAGGCTGCGACGGCGCAGCGTCAGACGCCGCTGCAGTGGGTGGCCCGCGCCTTTGCGGCTATTGGCTCACGTGAAGGGAACTTCATTGTGGGTTGTCTGCCGCCTCCCGCGCCTGTCGATTTGCACACGGGCAGCCACGCAGATGGCCTTGCATCTCTTAGCATTCCTGTGCTTTTGCGTCGCTCCTCGGCGGGCGTGGAGCTGCAGCTATCGCTTTCGCAGGATGCACGTCAGCGATGCCTGGCTGTTATTGGTCGCGCCCTTGCCCACAGTCGACGGAGCGGGGCGACGACGGCGGCGCTGGAACAGGAACACATGCAAATGGGTGCACGTTACAACACGAGCAGGACGATGGACAGTGCAGGGTTGGAGGGTCGGCCACTGACGGCGCAGCGCCAACACCGACACCTCTACTCGTCGGTTCCCCCCGTGTCGTCGTCCTCGTCGCCGCCGTCGCCCACGACCGCCACTGCCGGAGCTGCCGCCACGCACCAGAGCAGCAGCAGCAGCAGTCTTGGTTGCTGCAATGACGCTGAGAGCCAAAGGCAACGCGTAGGAGGGGCATACTTCGAAATTTAAGCGGCGGGTCACCCCATGTTTTTTTTGGGCGTTTTTTTTATTGAGGCCCCTTTATGCACCGGTTGACTGCAAACGGGCCAACGAGAGGGAGGAAGTCGGCTGAGACAGAGCGAGCGCGGGCGAGAGAATGTGTGTGTCTCTGTGTGTGTGTGGGTGAGGGTGGAAAGGGGGAGGAGTACATGCCTGGGTGCATTTATCCTGATGCTTCTCTTGACGCGCTGTCGCCGCTCGCTTTGTGTTGTTGTCCTTACTGTTTGCCTTGTAGCCTCTCCCTGACTTTCCCCACCACCACCCGTCAGTTGTTGTCTCTTTACTTCCCCCTCCCTCCCCTCCCCTTCCCCTGTTTTCTGTTTTATTTGCTTTGTTTTTTGTTTT